CTCCTGGTCCAAGACTGAGATAATATAACCCCAGGGAGCAGAGTTCTCTCTCTCTGTGTCCTGCACTGGCCCCATTTGTTACTCCCCGTAGTAACCATGTGCATTTAGCAGTCCCACCTGGGGCCTGTAGCAAACTGCATGGGTTCCAAAGGAGCTATAATATGAAACAGAACTCTGGACACTGGCCTTTGTTTTGGCCTTGATGAAGACAAATTTGGACTTTACCCATGGCAGGAGGAACAGAGATGGGACATTGGAAACCCAGGGGCAGCCGCCTATTTCCACCCAAATAAATTTTACTACCAGCCTTTCAGGAGACCCATTTATTTCCAAAACTATTACAGAGGAAGAAATTTCCAAAAGTTGATAGAACTGTAAAGAACCGTCTATTGCCTGGCCAGCGTGGCTCAGTGGTTGAGCGTTGACCTGTGAACCAGGAGGTCATGGTTCGATTCCCAGTCAGGACACATGCCCGGGTTGTGGGTTTGATTCCCAGTGTGGGGTGTGCAGGAGGCAGCCAATTCATGATTCTCTCTCATCATTGATGTTTTTCTCTCTCTCTCCCTCTCTCTTCCTCTCTGATTATATATATATATATATATATATATATATATATATATATATATCCACCAGTCTATTTCCTAAAAATGATTTAGACATCTGAGACCTGAAGAACAATGAATATGGTGCTGGGAAAAGTTTTTTTCCAGATCTGATATTAATTTCACATGCAATGGGAATTTTCCTAACTTTTTTAATGTCTCTTATTTTAGGATTACTAAAATAACTGTGGAAGATTAGAGTATTGAGTTAGAGCAGTGATGGCGAACCTATGACACGTGTGTCAGAGGTGGCACGCGAACTCATTTTTTTTGGTTGATTTTTCTTTGTTAAATGGCATTTAAATATATAAAATAAATATCAAAAATATAAATCTGTGTTTTACTATGGTTGCAAATATCAAAAAATTTCTATATGTGACACGGAACCAGAGTTAAGTTAGGGTTTTCAAAATGCTGACACACTGAGCTCAAAAGGTTCGCCATCACTGAGAGCATAACTCAATCAAATGCCAAAAATTCTTTGGCTCTAGTAATTACCTAGGTCATTTTCTTTCTTTCTTTTTTTTTTAAAGATGAGTGAACTCCACTATTTCTTTAAAAAAAATGTTTTTATTTATTTTAGAGAGAGGAAGGGAGAGGAAGAAAGAGACAGAAACATTGATGAGAGAGAAACATCAATTGGCTGCTCCTGCACACCCACTACTGGGGATCAAGCCTGCAACTCAGGCATGTGCCCAGTCCAGGAATTGGACCAGTGACCTGGTGCATGGGATGACAGTCAACCAACTGAACCACACCGGCCAGGCCCTAGGTCATTTTCTTTTAGCTCCAACTCACCTACTTAATGGCCATATTTTTAGTAGAGTGCTTTCTTCTTTCTAAATTAATAAAAGACTATATATGTGAGAGTTTATTTCTGAGCTCTTCATTTATTCTATTGGTCTATATGTTTGCCAGTATCATACTGTTTTGATCACTGTAGCTTTGGTAGTAAGTTTTAAAATCAGGAAGTGTGACACTTTCCACTTTGTTGTAGTTTAAAAATAAAAACAACAAAAAACTTTTGGTTATTTGGTGTCTCTTGAGATTCCATGTGAATTTTAAGATGGGTTTTTCTACTTCCACAAAAAGTGTCATTGGGATTTTGATAGGGATTGCATTAAATCTTTAGTATACTTTGGGTAGGAGTAATGTCCCTCTTTTGTGGGTTATCTCATTTTATCCATACAACTATGAGGTAGGTGCCATTTTTTTTTTTCATTTTAAATGTGTGCAGACTGAAGTTAAGATAAAATAAATTCCCAAATCCTACATGTACAAAGAATGGATGCTGAAATTTAGGCAGTCTGATTCCAATATCAGAGTTCATATCACTTCATCATGCTGCCTTTAACAGTTTTGGCAGCACACATATAAAGCAGCAATAAAGTAGATAAACTGCAGGTACATTTCCCAGGTAGCAAGATGACAAAATCATTTTAGTTCCCAGTATAAATAAGTATATTTTCAGTTGGATAACTAACTATATCCTGTCCTATAAACAAAATAGTTAAAGTGCACAACAATTTGATTAAGTGTAGAAAGTAAGTCTTTATGAAAGGAGCAGTGTAAGGATGAGGAAAGTTGAAAGTAAATGAACTCCCCGGCCAATGTTTCTCATTGGTTGAGCATCAACCCATGTACCAAGAGATCACCAATTCAATTCCAGGTCAGGGCACATGCCCAGGTTGTGGGCTTGATCCCCAGTAGGGGGCATGCAGGAGGCAGCAGATTGATGTTGATGCTTCTCTCACATTGATGTTTCTATCCTCTCTCCCTCTCCCTTCCTCTCTCTAAAAATCAATAAAAACATACATTATAAAAAATAAGTGAACTTTTATTAACTTTAAATAATAACTGTTATTTAAATTGAATACTCTCAAGTCTAGACATACATATGGTTTTTTAAGGGACTAAATCATGTTTTCCATAGTCACCATAATATTTGCTACGTGAAGGATGATTACTAGGGTGCAAGAAGAGGATCAGAGGTTTAGTTGAAATCATTTTATAGCTAAGTCCAAAGAAGTTACCTTAACTCTCCTACATCACAGATCTGAATAAGAATAAAGCCAGGCTAAAGCCCAGCTCTTCTGACTCTGATAGATGCTGTATATACTAAAACATGCTAAATTACCTTATTTTTTGAAGAAATGAGCCCAGGTTGTGAACAAACCATAAACTTTACTTATTTAACCTTTTAACAAATCTTTTTTGAGAACCTACAGTGAACAAGGCACTATGCTAAGTACTGTTAGGAAACAAAAATGTTTAGAGCCTCAAGGATTTTTAGTTGAGAAGGGAGTAGGATGTATCTTTAGAAAGCATTACAAAGATAACCTGCAAATATCTAGGGGAAAAAACAACATGAAGAAGTAGCACATCTCTAAAAGGAAGTTACTTCTGATGAAATGGCAGTAGAGGAAATCAGTGGTAGGTAAAACTGAAGCATTATCAGTTATGCATATAATATAGCAAATATATATTTAATATATTGGAATCAGGTAAATAACCTTGGAAGTGTAAACCTAGAACCAAGGTTGCAAAATTATTTTGTATGATGGTGTACGACTCAGAGAATTATGCCAAGTACAGCCATATATAACTATTATTTACAGCTGTCAGTTCAGAACTTGTAGACAGAACACATTGTATTTTCTCCACAAAATAGCCTCCCTTCCTAATGTACTTAGTCATCATAATGACACCATAATTCTCTTGTCATCAGAGATGAGAATCCTTGAATAAACACATTTGATTCTTGTTTTTATTTCTTGTACTCTTTCCAATCTTCCTCCTTACTGCATCAATTTCATTTTTTATATTCCCTTATAATTTCATGTCTGTTCTATCGTAATAACCTAATTACTCTTTCTACATTTTCACATTAGTCCTACACATCATTGTCAGGCCATTATTCCCACAGTATAGTACAGTTTAACCATGTCACTCTTCTGCTCAAAAGCTTTTCAACTCACCCCATTTCCTGCAGAATAAAGTTCAACACTCCAGAGTGTCACCAGAGGCAGAGCTAGATTTTAACATCAAAAGAGCCTGGGTTAGGGCCTGCTGTGTGATTGAACAACAGGAAGAAAGTACTTTTTAAAGATACCATCATTTGACTGACTTTTCCACCTGTCTCCTTGTATTCCTTTCATATGCCTTTAACTAGCATCCTTTTATTATAATATTAACAACTGTTATGCCAGTATATTTTAAGTTATTGAAAAGGTACCACTTTTCAGGAGAATTATGCTCAGGAGGGTTAACTTCGTCTGCTCCCCTTTGTAAATGAGGATTCTGTCATTTGAAGACCTTCAAAACATGTCCCAAACTGCCTTCCCTAGACTTTTCTCCCACTATTCATCAATAATAACTTTCCAATCCAGCTAGACTAGTTTACTCACCATTTTCTGGAAGTATCTTGTAGCTTGGAACTAGAGATGTGGGGATAGAAATGGAAAGAAGTAGAAAAGTATGTTACTGATAAATTGGATGGGAGGGATTAGAAAAAAGAAACAAAAGCATGTCTCAGGTTTTGGTTTGAGCAAATACCATCCATCTAGTTGCTGTGGGGGGTTTAGAAGAATTCCATCTTGAACATGTTAAATTTGAGATGCCTATTGGATAGCCAAGTAGAAATGTCCATAGGTAGTCATTTAAAATAATGGATATAGTTAAGGTAACATAAGAAAATGTTGTTAGAAAAAGGAAGCAAGTAAAGGATCAGAACCTGAGACAACTGATTGAGGATGAGGAGGCAAAGAATGGTCAGTGAAGTGAGAGAGTGTGGTTTCATGAAAGCAAGAGAACAATGTGCTTTAAGTAGAAGAAAGTGGTCAACTCTGTTGAATGTATTTACTGAAGGACCAAGTAATAGGAGCACTGTGAACTGATGGGTAAGTTCAAGGGATAAGCTTCCAGATTCTATCAGGTTGAAGAAGTTATGAGATTGGTAAGAAGTGGAGACAGTAAATGTAGACAACTGTTTTGAGAAGTTTTGCCCTGAAGGAAAGCAGGAAAATAAGGTGAAACTTCATGTGGGTGTGGAGTCTTTTAGTTGGGAGATCTTAAACCACTTTTATATGGTGATGCTTGAGTCATAGAGAAAGAGAGTGACTAATGATATTGGGGAGAGAATTATAAAAGGAGTGAAATTTTGAATGTGATCCAGAGCACAAGAGAGAAATATCTCTTTAATACATCACGGACACTTTTACAACTAGGGGAAAGATGGTAAAATGGAGTAAATACAGGTAGGTTTATAGATTTGGTGGTGGAAGCATGAGAGCATTTTTCTCTGATTACTTTCTCACTGAAGTTTGAAGTCAAATTGCAATCTAAGAATGATAATCTGATGGTATGCCCATGTCTGATTTGGTTATTCTTTCCTTAAAGATTAAGCTGAAGTGTCTGCTTCTGGCCACATGGAGTAACTTGAACCAGGTTTGCCCTTTCTCTGTAAGGAAGTGGAGAATGAAACAAAACACCTAAATTCAGATATTGGATAACAGACGCAACTGTGCTTCCCCAAGAGAAGGGAAACAAATGAGGTGAGTCTTATAATGGTTCCAATAGAAGCTATCTGAACTGAACCACAAAGAGAAAACACAATCAAGCAAACAAAAACCAGACTATCACTGACTTGGGGGATACTATCAGGCAGTATAATCTGTGTAATGGAGATCCAGAATAAACAGGAGAATTTAAAATTTTGAAGAAAGAGTGAAATTTTTCTAAATTCCAAATAATAAACACACAAATTCAAGAAGATTATGAGCCCTAAGTAGGAGGAACACAATACAGTCACACCAAGGTGCATTAAAAACTATTAACTTGGAATTATATAAAATATCCAAAATAAAAATACCCGTCAAAGTAAAGACTTTTATATAAAACTAGAGGCCTGGTGCACAAAAATTTGTGCACTCAGGGGTAGGGAGGGGTCCCTCAGCCCGGCCTGTGCCCTCTCGCAGTCTGGGACCCCTCAGGGGATGACCACCTGCTGGCTTAGGCCCGCTCCCCAGGGGATTGGGCCTAAGATGGCAATCGGACATCCCTCTGGCAGCCCGGCAGCCCTTGGGGGATGTCCACTTGCCAGCGGGGAGCAGGCCTAAACTGCAGTCAGACATCCTTAGCGCTGCTGAGGAGGCAGGAGAGGCTCCCACCACCACCGCTGTACTGGCAGCCATCAGCCTGGCTTGTGGCTGAGCAGAGCTCCTCCCATGTGAGAGTGCCCTGACCACCAGAGGGCAGCTCCTGCATTGAGTGTCTGCCCCCTGGTGGTCAGTGTGTGTCATAGTGACCAGTCATTCCCAGTCCTTCTGCTGTTAGGGTCATTTTGCATATTACCCTTTTACTATATAGGATAGAGGCCTGGTGCACGGGTGTGGGCCGGCTGGTTTGCCCTGAAGGGTGTCCCGGGTCAGGGTGGGGGTCCTGCTTGGGTGCCTGGCCAGCCTGGGTGAGGGGATGATGGCTGTTTGCAGCTGGTTACACCCCCTTCAGGGTGGGGGTCCCCACTGGGGTGCCTGGCCAGTCTGGGTGATGGGCTGAGGGCCGTTTTCAGGCTGGCAGGTGACTGAAGCTCCCAACCTCTCCTTTTTTCTTTTATTCTGGGATTTATTTACCTTCTATGGCTGTCACTGGAGCTGAGAGCCGGCTTTAGCTCTGAGGCTCAGCTCCAGCTCTGAGACCTCGGCTGCTGAAAGCAGGTATCTGGGTTTGTTTGGCTTCTATAATTGAAACACTATTGCAGTTCCAGCTCTGAGGCCCAGCTGGCTGAAAGCAGGTATCTCAGGTTTGTTTAGCTTCTATAATTGCAACATTGTTTCTTAGAGTGCAGCTCAGAGGCCAGCAGCAGCAGGCAGGGAATCTTGGCTTCCTCCATCACTGGAGTAAGCAAACCTCCTGTTTGCTTCAGCTGCCTGGCTACCAGCCGCCATTTTGGTTGGCAGTTAATTTGCATATCGCCCTGATTAGCCAATGGGAAGCGTGTCGGAGGTACGGTTAATTACCATATTTGTCTATTATTAGATAGGATACTAGTGGCCCAGTGCACGAATTTCGTGCAGGGGGGGTTTGTCCCTCAGTCCAGCCTGCACTCTCTCCAATAGGACATCCCTCTTGCAATCTGGGACTCCTGGCTCCTAACCGCTCACCTGCCTGCCTGCCTGATCACCCCTAACTGCCTCTGCCTGCCTGCCTGATTGCCCCTAACCCCTCTACCTGCCTGCCTGATCACCCCTAACTGCCTCTGCCTGCCTGCCTTATCACCCCTAACTGCGTCTGCCTGCCTGCCTGGTCACCCCTAACCTCTCTGCCTGCCTGCCTGATCACCCCTAACTGCCTCTTACTGCCTGCCTGGTCTCCCCTAACCTCTCTGCCTGCCTGCTTGATTGCCCCTAACTGCCTCTGCCTGCCTACTGATGGGCACTTAAGTTGCTTCTGTATCTTGGCTATTGTAAATAATGCAGAAATGAACATGAGTGTGTATATATTCTTTCAAATTTGTATTTCGGGTTTCTTTGGATAAATCCCCAGAAGTGGAATCACTGGGTTATAAGGCGGTTTCATTTTTAATTTTTTGAGGAAACTCCATACTGTTTCTAAGTGGCTGCACTGATCTGCATTCTCACCAACAGTGCACAAGGGTTCCCTTTTCTCCACATCCTCTACAACTCTTGTTTGTTGATTTATTAATGATAGCCATTCTGACAGTTGTGAGTTGATATCTCATTTTGATTTGCATTTTTCTGACAATTAGTGATATTGAGCAACCTTTCCTATGTCTATTGGTCATCTATATGTCTTCCTTGGAGAAGTGTCTATTCAGGTCTTCTGACCACTTTACAATTGGGTTGTTTTTCTGGTGTTAGTTGTCTGAGTTCTTATAATTTTGAATATTAATCCCTTATCAGATGTATCATTGACAAATCTCATTCAATAGATTATCTCATCATTTTGATGGGTTTCCTTGGTTGTGCAAGAACTTTTTAGTTGGTTTAATTCCATTTGTTTATTTTTTCTTTTGTTTCCCTTGCCTGAGAAGATATATTAGAAAAAATGTTGAGAAATGTCAGAAATTATACTGCCTATGTTTTTTTCTAGGATTTTCATGATTTCAATCTGACATTTAAGTCTTTAATCCATTTTGAGTTTATTCTTTTATATAAATTGATCTAGTTTCATTTTTTTGCAAGTATCTGTTCCATTTTACCAGCACCATTTATTGAATAGACTGTCTTTATCCCATTGTATGTTCTTGCCCCCTTTGTCAAATATTAATTGGCCATAAAGGTATGGATTTATTTCTGGGTTCTCTATTCTGTTTCATTGATCTATATGTCTGTTTTTATGCCAGTACCATGCTGTTTTTATTACTTTGGACTCCTAATATAATTTGATATCAGCTAGTGTGATACCTCCAACTTTGTTCTTTTTTGTCAATATTGCTGATGTTATTTGGGCTTTTTGTGTGGTCCCATATACATTTTTTGATTATTTGTTCTAGTTCTGTGAAAAACAGCATTGGCATTTTGATAAGAATTGCATTGAATCTATAGGTGGGTAGTGTGGCCATTTTAATGATGTTAATTCTACCTACCAATGAACACAGTATATGCGTCCACTTATTTGTATTTTCTTCAGTTTTTTTCTTTAGTGCCTTGTAATTTTCTGAGTATAGGTCTTTTACATCCTTGGTTAAATTTATTCTGAGGTAGTAGTTTTTAATGCAATTATAAATGAAATTTTTTAAGTTTCCCTTTCTGATAGTTCATTAATGGTATATAAGATGCAACTGATTTCTGAGTATTAATTTTATATCCTGCTGCTTTCTGGAATTCATTTACCAACTCTAATAATTTTTTAATGGAGTCGTTAGGGTTATTTATATACAGTATTATGTTATCTGCAAATAATGAGAGTTTTATTTCTTCCTTTCCAATTTGGATGCCTTTTATTTCTGTCTTGTTGTTTGTTTGTTTGTTTTTGTTTTGTCTGCTGTGGCTAGGACTTTCAGTACTTTGTTAAATAAGAGTGGTGATAGTGAACATCCTGTCTTGTTCCTTATCTTAAGAAAAATGCTTTTAGTTTTCCCCACTGAGTATAATATTAGCAGTGGGTTTGTCATACATGCCATCGTCATTCTTGGTATCCCCTATGAGTGATAGCATCTCATCACTGCAGATCATTGGGATAAAGAGCTTCAAGACTATCATAAAACAAAATGCTTGTAGCACAACATCAACAACTGTTTTAAACAGCTAAGGGAACAATCAAGGCCAGTTCCATAATCACCAAATCTGGGCAGATTGCGGGTGAAGTACTTAAGGAATTAATGGGAGAAAATTACATTGTTAAATATATATATATTCACCTTGAAAAAGTAACCTGAAGCCAGGAACAAGAATTGCTTTGAAATGATTACAAAGATATTTGTTAAGATCCACTGGTTTATAGCATGTCTCATAAAGACACAGGGAATATTTCTTTTTTCTAAGACTGGGGATTATCAGAACAGATCAGAGAATTAAGAGAGGTAATAGAACTATCGCTGACAAACCTAGAATTATCCCAGTGTAGGAATAATACTTCTAAAAGGCTGTTATTATGTGGACCACCAGTTATAGGAAAAACACTAATAAAAAGAGCTATTGTTATCCAAGTAGACTGCAATTTCTTTCTTTTTTAAAATATATTTTTATTTATTTCAGAGAGGGAGAGGAAGAGAGAGAGAGAAACATCAATGGTGAGAATCATTGATCGGCTGCCTCTTGCACATCCACATTGGGGATCAAGCCCACAACCCAGGCTTGTGCTCTGACCAGGAATTGAACCATGACCTCTTGGTTCATAGGTCAATGCTCAACCACTGAACCATGTCAGCCAGGCTGGACTGCAATTTCTTAAACATTGTTTCTAGTTCTATTGCAGACAATTGCAAGGGGGGAAAGTGCTTATTTGATTTGAGAAATATTTAATTATAAAGGGATCATCAGCCATGCATAATTTTTTATGGATAAATCAATGCCATTGATGACGTTGGTTTTCTGATAGTACTTCAGCTGATAGATTCAGAGGACTTTAATGGAGTTACAAAATGAAATAGATGATATAATACTGTGCATAAAGTTAAAATTACAGCTACAAACAAGTACAGTGGATTCTATTTTGCTATCTCCAGGTAAATAGGAAAAAATTATTTATATGCAAGATTAGATATATTGACAATCCATGGAGATACCATTACAAAGCATAATATAATAAATTATTAGTAGAAAATATGATGTTTCCAGATAGCTTTAATGGAGCAGACCTGAGAAATGTTTGCCCTGCAGAAGGTATATTTACAATGCATGATAATTATGAGTTTGTCGTGTAGAAAGGCATCAGGAAAGCAATAAGAAGTGACTGATTTTAAGGAGTCAGTGTCTAAATTGGAGTACAAATTTTTGATGGCTACATGACAGACACTGACTTAATATAAAAATTAGTTAAGTAAAATGTACACAATGGCAATAATCTCATTAAAAGTGCATGAATAAAAATA